TATATATTTATAAATATATATCATTATATATAGCGATACGTACACGTGCACTTATTAACAGTTCTCTAATCATTAGTCTGTTAATGAATAACACATTGCTTCTAATTGTTATAACTCAATAAGCTGGTCTAACTAAATTTACAACATTGAACTTAAAAACATACGGTTCGATCGCGTTTTTACAATAGTACCGCGTCTTTTCAGATAGTGTGGGATTAAAAAAACATTATCAACATCTCACTTTATGTGCAAAATTCGAAATATTGCGAAATTCAAGAATGAGGCTAATTAACTTCGAATTGCGCGAGTTTTGAATCATTTTTCAGAATTGCATTTTTTTAAAAGTAAAACGACAATGTAATATGTAAAATGCACATTGCCTTGCTTATGTCTTCTCTCGCTTTAAGCGCGATGCGATCGATTAAATTGTCACGGACTGATTAGGATCAAGTCTGACGCGTTTTCATGCTCGAAAGCCTCTCGCTTATCTCGCGCGCTTTAAAAAAACGCTTTTACGATTCAGGCCACGTGGACTGGACACCCACGCTCTCTCTTCCATAAAGCGCTTAAAACCGCCCGTCCTTCCGGTGTGTTCCCGGTTAAGTCTATCTTAACACGAGCCCGTAGATACATTTTTGCGATTACAGCTGCCTGATTTATGACTTCCCCTCGCGTCGCGACACCGGTACCCGGTACCGGATCGGGAAACTCGTATGAATGATGCAACGAGTAGCGCATCCCATGCGACCGTTCGTTAAGCGATCGGTGATGGATTTCGATATAATCTTTCATTTTTCGTCTCCTGAAAGAGGTATCTTTCATTTGCATCTAAGTACCCAGAAGTCAAAGTGTATACACGCAAAGGGTATACACAAGTGTATACCTCGAATGGATCTTCTTTATTTAATTGTAACGCGATATATCAAACGCTTTCTCTCTCTCTCTCTCTCTGATAATAAGGCATTAACATAAGCGCGCGAGACGAAATAAAGTGTTAATTTACGATGCCACATAATACGCTACACGATGCGTAATCCGACCGCAAACATCGGCCGTTTCCTCGAACATCTTCGCGAGAGGAGTATCGTAAGCTCTTACAATTATCTTTTTTACGGGGTCAATTGAATTTGATCTAACAATAAGACGAAAGAAAGACCCGCCGCTCGGTAATGAATCGCTGGTCGGTGCTTCCTGTCGAATTTGTTCGTCCTTAAGGGGGAAACCAGTCTAACGGCTAAAAAAAAGACTATTTCTAAGGATTTTTTTTCTGGTAAATAATTTTTTTTTTTTCGAATCGGAATTTTTTCAGAATGGAATTTTCGATTGAATAATTTGTTTTTTTGTAATGTTAAAAAACAAAGGTCAATATCTCACCGATTTTGGAACTTTTTTCTTCAAAAGTTCGCCATTTTGTAACAAATTATTTTTTTTTAAATCCATACGTGCAACTGAAGCTATTGTCTTATATTTTAATTATTGTCTTATATTTTAAAAATACTTGTTTTTTTTTGTTTCAAAGTTTTCGTTGCCCCGCTACGCGTGCGCCCGTTTTTTTTAAGGCGACTCACTCTTGGTTATTGTAGCTATAAATATTAATGTTTTTTAACGAAAATTTCACAAAAGGTAGTTCAAATTATGTACTTTGTGATGTTAATAACGCGATTTGAAAAAAAAAAAAACAACAATTTTACCAGAAAAAGAATCCTTAAAAATAGCCTTTTTTTAGCCGTTACACTGGTTTCCCCCCTTAATGAAAATTCTTTGGGAACGCATATTTCTCTTGGCGAATGCTCTTTGCGTTTCAGGAATTGCCTTCGTTCGCGAACCATCGCATTGCAATTTATTCTGTCGTTAAATAGCGCATCTACGATTCAAATTTCGACGTTCATCGAAGCGAGACGCATACTTGCGAGACGACCTTGATAAATAACGAGGGAATAGAGCGCGGCCGCGATTACATTGCGTATGATGATACGAAAAATCTGGAAAAAGATTGTTTTCTTTATTTGTCGTATTTTAATTCGTAATATCGTTGTGATTCGCGATGACCAGTGTAGAGCTCATTTTTCTCTCTCTTTTTCTCACGGTGCGATGTTCGTTTTGTGCAACGCCCCAGTTAATTAAGAGACGTGTCTATTATAAGTCATCTGAAATTTCATGCCACGGCGAAGAATCTCACACTCATGATTACGAAGATATCACTGGTTCGCGACATCTGACCGCGCGCGATTCTCACAATTTCTTTTGCACGTTATAAGAAAATGCTCGCAAGTATTAATATTAATGTGAAATATTAATTAATTGCACTGTATTACATCTCTTCAGGAACGCATACACATTACATATATGTATATCCAAATTATTGTAATAATGTATACTTGCATTTCTTGCATATAAGTACAAATATTTTCGATATTATTAATAATAATATCAGAATTAATTTTCATAATTAATTTTTTTAAATTAAAATTTGTGTTATAAGTATAGAGAATAAAAATGAATTTATCTTTTTACTTATAATTCAATAAATATGACTGAATTATGTATTAAAGAAATTATTGAATAGAATCAACATTTTTTTTTTCATGTAAAAATATTCGTATTTTTAAATATCTCTAGCGAACGGGCATGATAAGCAATTTGACATAAACAGATTTTAAAAATTTGATATTTTTTATCTACTTTCAATTCGCTTAATTTTCTTTTCTAGATCTTTTATATTCATATAAATATAACAGACTTCTTTTTAATAAAAGCATTCCAAAAAGTATATCTTATCGAATCAATGTTACTATGGTGATCTGGTTTACTTAGGCTGCTAGTTCCATTATGTATATTGACACAAATTCGATATGTACATTGTACGCATCGCGTGTAAATCTACGTGTGTTTAATAATTTAGCTTCCATCGTTAGCTCATTAGTGTTTAATCGACCATTTTATAACGAGTTTGCACAATATAATTGTATTAGTATAATAATGTTTATTCTGAATTTATGCAACGATCATAAATTTAGTTTCTATCGTGTGTGTGAAGCAATTTTTTTATTTAATAATAATTTTATTTAATCTATACAGATAAAATATAATCGTCTAAACATCTCGAGATTTGAAGGCCGTTGCGCCGAATTAATTTAGTCTAGGAATTAATCCTCTGGTTAAATATTTTTTTTTTTTTTTCAATTTATATATGTCTAACTATAATCAAAAAAGAAAGAATTTAATCAAATTAGCATTAGAATTTGCATTTGGAATAATGATTGTAAAAAGGTCTCGGAAAATTTAGGAGACATATAATAAGTGAAAATGATTAATGATTAATCAAGATTAGTATTCATTCTTATTGCTTTAGCGATATGATTCTTATCCCATACAGCACACAAAGATTGCATACATATTGTAGCAATCTTTCACCGCAATATTGCAACTTTGCAAATTTACTGCAAAATGTTGCTGCATCATTGCTGTGGAATTGCAGCAATGATAAAATGTCCGCTTTCAGGAATATTGCAACAAAATATTATAGCAACATTGCAATGTAATGAATTTGCAATGATGTATATATATTTATTTTGGGGTATATAAATATGTAATTATTGACGATACATTGTAATTAAATGTCTTTATTTGTACTTATGTTAACGTTATAAATAACATAACATTGCACATAACATATTATTGCACTTAACATGTTCACGAAATAAAAATATATTTTTTTTATATTAGAGAAATATATAAAAATGGTTCAGCTTTACGAGCCGCTTTTATTACCACTAATAATTTATTGAATTTTGTCCATTATTGTTTTCCTTTGTTAAATGTCTGTAAAAATAAAATAGGAGTTAAAATTCATATTTACATAAAAATATACATACTGCAAATATACATAAATATTTTTATCAAATATTTTAAAGTTAATATCTACAGCAAAATAGAAAATTAAAGAAAGCAAAAAATATCCACATAAAAAATATACAAACATATATCATAGATAAATATAATTTTTACTTTTGCGATCTCAATAATTTTAAGGTTATATAGGTTATTAACCTTAGGACATGCTATTCTATTATAATTAATTAATGCATAATATATTAGGTCACTATAATAAAACATAATATTATCAAAAAGCTCTTACCTTTTCTCGTACGCAACAATAAAAAATGTGAATCACGAAATACACGACAATCACAGATATGTGCAGCAAGACCGGCGCCTACTACACACGCACACAATTGCGAACGCGTACATGTGCTGCGCAAAGCATACAGTGCAGCAATATAAGCCAATTTAAGAAAAATGTTTTAATAAAATGAACCATTTAGTATTGTTTATCGTTAACATCTTTCATGTAGAAATATTGCAAAAAATTATTTTATTATAATATTTTATTATTAAAATTATATAAAAATTGAATTTTGCAATATTTCCGAAATATTAATGTCATGTTGCTACAAGTGTGCTGGTACTTTGTGGCTCTATATTTCTGCAATGTCTTTGTAATGTTGCATTGCAATTTGCAACATTGCAATGTTGCTGCAATATAATCGCAATGATCTGTGCTGTATGGGATTGCTTTAGCGATATGATTCTAAATTTTTCGAGATGATCGGAGGCTGCATATAGCCTCAGAGAAAAGGATGCTGATTAGATACATTCAGTCTATCGATGCGACTACGATCCTAGACCGTGATTTTTCATCGAGACCATCTCGGGACGTCATCGTCTCGTCGGGATGAAACGACGAACACTTTGTGGCGAGGGAGGATGGAGGGGAAGAAGGGTATCTCCTATTCTTATTCGGAGCTTTTTAAGCTGTAGCGGGCTTTGCGCTGTGTCGAATGCACGAATCTGCGTACCTTCGTGCGCCCGTGGTCCAGATGAGATCGCGGCTCGTACAAGCCGGATGTGACGTCAGAAGGCCCCTGTCGAGCCGAGCACCGTCCGACGGACGGCGGTTGCGAGTCAATTGTCTTCTTTCACACTGACACACTGGCCAAATCCCCGCATCGACACGGCCGCCCGGTCACATGTATTCGCACGCGCACACACCTCACGCACGCACGCACTCGAGGTCCGCGCCTCCTCCGCCGCCACCTCTTCCTCTTCGCGTCCTCTTCCTCCTCCGGACTCCTGCTACTGCTGCCGCTGCTGTTGCTTGTAGCAGCAAGTAGACACTAATTTATTAATGCCACTCCGACCACTATACTCTCCGTTACTCATCACGGTTTATTGACTTTCATTGCGATCTCGTCTCGCGCGCCACGCTCTAATGTTTCTTCGCTCTTTTCCTCCCCATATGACGGACCTTCTAAGCCGCAACCGTTTGCTTCCTCTTCTTTTTCCGTGCTCGCGAATGCCAGGATCATGCGAATGGTTTTATTTTTTTAAACGTTCCTTGAATTTTTCCCAAAGGGAATGTTTCTAGTATCTCGTTTAAAAAGAACGTGTTTTTTTTTTTTTCAATGATTATCCTGAAACAAATCGATATTACATTAGCGAAATGGGGTAGGAATTATTTTGATTTCTCAGCGGAGACAAAAGATAAACTTTGGGTAGAAGATTTTATAAAAATAACGACGAAATATATTGGAAGTTCTTCAATAATTTATAATAATTGTTATGCAAATATATAATATATGTGTATAATTTGATAAGAGATATACTATATGTATATGTATTATTTTAGCGAATATACAGGGTGTCCCAAAATTAGACCGACAAACATCAGATGGTTATAAAAGACACTAAAATCAAAGACTAACAAGGGAACTTTGCGAACCGAAAATTCTGATTTTGATGAAACTTTACGCACATGTGGGGGGGGGAGGGGGGAAGGGATAAATAAATAAATTCAGAAATTTCCAGTTGCGGCCTAAAAACGATTCTAAGGGATGAAATCACCCCTCATATATAAGGCGACTTTTTGCTTTTCTCGAGATATTTTGAAAATTATTCGAGATATTAAAAAATGTTTTATACAAAAGGTTTTCATGGTAAAAACATCTCTATTTATATTAATAAAATTAAAAAAAAATAATTTTTTTCAAAGATTTTCGCCCTTGTTAGTCTTTTTCTTTCTCTAGTGCCAAAACCGCTTATTTGCGGACACGGATTTATTGACAAAATTGGCTTGTTTTGCTGTCCTTTATAATCACCTGAAGTTTGTCGGTCTAATTTTAGGACACTCTGTATATACATACCGATATCCTGTATTTGAATGCATATAGATTTATGTTATTCTTACGTTAGGGAAATCAGCGGACGTTTTTTCTAGCAGCCGACTTTGAATTATTTATATAACGATACTTGAGCGCGACTAATAGAATGTGACGAAACGTAAGGGGGTGTTCAAAAAATTTTGATTTCTCTGATAACAATAAATAGAAATTCTGTACAGTTTTTACGCGAATCTTTACGCGGTTGTCAGAATGGCGGAAGCTTTCACAGAGTGATATCAATTCTTTTGATACGGGTAAACAGAAGTTTTTTAGTAATAGAGCTCTTACGCGAGCCTCTCTATTCCGGCGATTAATATTCACAGGGTGGTTTCGAGGTAGCGTGTGCTTTTCAATGTGAGAAAGGGGTCGTTGAGTCGAATCGATAGGGTGTGGGTATTGTAGCAAATAATAGAACACGGGTGTGTTCATTTATGAACGATGCGTGACGGAACATATATACGGCAGGCGACGAGTTATTATTAAGAGCGTTTTACTAGTATTGTACTTTGACTCTATTTTTTTTTTTAATATACACGGTTTCAAAAAACCAAGTTCAAAAACTTTTGGGCCAATCCTTTGATTTTGCTCCATTCCGCGAGTATATCTCTCACAAAAACACGTTGAGAGAGCTGGCTTGAACATTGTAGTAGAGGATCCTATTCGCGTCGACGAACTCGCACTTTCGCGACTTCCGATATTCGCGGCGTAGCGTGTTTACCGGAGCCGCTCCTCTCTTTCTTTCTTTCGTCGTCGGAAGATCGATATATCGAGCAAAACCGACGACTGGGTCATCATAAAGTGTCCACGCTTTTCGTTCGGAGTAATGCCACGCGAAAAGCACAAAGACGCTGCTTCGCGAGCGCGCCGGAAATCACATTCGAATTTTCATTTCTTCGCGATAAAAAATTTAATGTAGTTTATATACGAGCGTAGCACATGTTTGTGTTTCGATGCTTTAAAGGGTCTTCCTCGTTTGACACTCTGAAAGTAAGGCGATTTTTGGGAATTTAAAAAAAAAAGTATAAAACATATTAATTCTAAACTTTGCACATTTATTAAATAACATTTCAAGTATATCCTGAATTTTTTTCAAACAAAAATATTTGTTTGTTTCGGAGTTATAGTAGCCCAACCAGGGTGTCTTAAAAAAAAATTGTTGTTCGTGGCGAACATGATTCCAGCCGTTATAGTCATCTGAAATAAAAAACCAAAAAGATTCTTAATTTGTATGAGTATGGCTATCGCGTGAACTAAAATAAAAAAAGAATATTGAAAAATAAAAAAATGGCAGCTCAAAACAAAATTTCATTTTTTACCAGAAAACTGATTAATTTTGTAAGTCGCAAAATTTGAATTTTGCAAATATCGATTTAATTCTAGTTCACATGATAACCACACTCATACAGATTAAGAATCTTTTTGGTTTTTTTATGACTATAATGGCTGGAATCATGTTCGCCATTTTTTTTTGAGACGCTCTGTTTGGACTACTATAACTCCGAAACAAATAAATATTTTTGTTTGAAAAGAATTCAGGATATATTTGAAATATTATTTAATAAACGTAACAAAGTTTAGAATTAATATGTTTTATAGTTTCCTTTTAAAAAATTCCCAAAAATCGCCTTTATTTTCAGAGCGTTAAACTAGGAAGACCCTTTAATGTAACATGAATAAAAAATGGATCGCGGCGACAATCATCTGTTAGATAATACATAGTCGGACGGACAATATAGTTAGTCTGCGAAGATAGACGGCGTTGATCTATAAGTTCTTTCGTTGAAAAGACTATTTCTCGTGTGTTAGTCACGCATGTAGTACAGCAAATGATTCATACCACGTGCCGAGCTCTTGTAGTCCGCGGGCTTTTATACAGTCCGGGAAAGACGTTGTCGTGTCGTGACGCGCGACGTCATTGTTTGGACAAAAGTGGCGATTTGCATGGAGGAAGTCGGTCGTGTAACTACGGAATAGGCTACACGAAAATCGTGAAAGGAATCGATTAATGGATGATGATAAGATTGATGATTCAGGCACGTAATTTATTGCTGAAACATTAACATTCTCTTAAGTTTCTCTTTTTAGAAAATTATCTGATTTGTTCTTTCGACCAATAGCACATTATGGAAATGATTAAGTTGACAGCTATTTGAATAAAGACAGTAATAAAAAAATGTAGAAAATTTATTGATATCGTTAATCTTAAGTTAATTTCATTTTTAATTTTCATAAAGTATTTTACATTTGTCAGTGTGTAATGTTCGTCATGTTTCCATTGGTACGTGTCAAAAGATTAATAAAAAACATTTTATTTTTTGTATTTTCTGCCAAGTAATATTCCGCGAATATTATGTGTGTTTTTGTCAAAAATATTTTTTAGATTATTACTAAAGCTTTCAACATACACACGAAATTTTAAAAATTGTAATAACAATTAAAAATTGAAAATATAATTTATCTAAATTACTTACTAATCACATAACTATATTCTAGACATTTTTTGGAGAGATCTAATTTACAGCTGTTTGACAGCTGCTTTTATAGATGTCATCAGTAAAGCACGCCGTTATCAAGAAAATGTCATCTGCGTTGCGATTGACATGAGCACTTGAAATTTATGCAAAATAAATAAAGGTAGACCGTTCAGTGATAATACGAAGTGTGTAACAATTAGCACTACAAGAAAAAAGCACAAGACCATGTCACGGCACGGCCGTCACGAATATCATAATAGTGTCACATAAAGCAAGCTATTACTTAACGAGTTGCAAAATTCCTATGCATCTACTAGCAAACTCGCATTGTCCGTGCGTTCTAATTTTTCATGCGGAAGCACTGCGTTCCGGCCGGATTGTTAAATTAATTAAATAGTTTTCCATTATTTTTTGATGCCTCAATCAATTTAATGGAGAAAATATATTGTGTTTTTAAGATATTTCTTTTTTTTTAATATTTTATGATAAAAAAAGAGAATTTAATTAAATTATGTATATATTAAATTCTAAGTCGTGGAAGCGTTTTATGAAGTATTATTTGTCACGATTTGATACTTTATCGCAGATTACTAGTAATTAAGGTCATCTTTTATTAAGTCGAAAGATATGAGGTTTAATCTGTATGTGCCATACACACACACACACACACACACACACACACACACACACAGGAAAATATTTCTCCTCTTTACGAAGTCTCGACGTATGATATATGATATGTATACTTCCTCGTTATGTACGGGAAGCACGTGAGAATTCATGCAGTTTCGTAAACGAGGATGAGCTTCCTGCATTTTAAACTTACATGTTAAAGAAACTGGAACAGAATGATACGACCTCGTGCTTAAATCATTAATTAATTACATCGTTCATCCTTACCGACAATTTTGTCTCCTTGAAAATAATCGAGCCGAAAACTATGCACAGATTCGTCCAACGGAGATCCCCAACATTTACAATCAATCTAGATTCGCGAGGTGGTGGATTAAAATCTTTGAGAATTCGCGCACACGCGAAAGACGCGTCTCTCGTTCGACGACAAGGGAAGAGGAAGAAGTTCCGTTTCGATTCTTGTCGTTCTCCTCGGAGGCAGGAAGAGGCAATCGCGCGGGAAAACCGGTCTTCCGGTCGCGTCTCCGACAGCGGACGTGGACGGACTGAACGTTGTGTCCCGACGCGACGATCCCCTCGACAGGAGAGAATCCTCTCTTCTTTTTCGGGGGCTCCCTCTCTTCGCGCTCCTTTTCACCCTCCGTTCCGCCGCTTCTTCGCCGCATGCGGCTCCTCAAGTACGCGGCGCGACGGAATCGCGCTCACGACTGGCACATCAACTTCGCTCTCCCCGTACACCGGTCGTGCTATCATGCTTTTCCTCCACCCACACACCCAGTTGCGTATCAATGGAGGGTGCCGCTCGATAGTAGAAGCTCGTTCGTTAAGATCGAGTACATAATTTTCGAAGGAAAATTTTGTCGAACGAAAAAAGGTAGTTTAAAGAAAATTTTGAGAAAGAAAAAATAATAGAAAAAATAATAGAAAAAATAATAGAAAAAAATGTAATTATAAATGTAATTTAAAGAGAAAAACGATATAAGAGTATATTGATAGTATGTTATAATTAAAACATTTAAAAAACTAAAATATTAATTTATCAACTATTTGAAAATTCTGATATATATGTAGGAAATAATTTTGAATTTAATCCAGAGATTTAGAATACTAACATTATATTGAGAACTATGTCCAAAGGAAAAGGTACATAGAAAATAAGTACAATATTTCAATGTATTAGCTATTTTAGCAGCTTAGAGATAGTGCAATTTAGTTACAAGCTTTTGTTGTGCAAACGAATTGCTACAAGAAAGAGTGCGTCGATCTCCGAGTGTTGGTCACGCAAAGTGCGTGAGTACGTCGACGACTTTAAAGCGAGCACAGTCAAGAGAAATCAGAGTTGATTAACTTGCACCGAGGAATCTCAGCCTGGTGGAAGAGTCGCACGTATACGTACCGCGTCGTGAGAGACGTTAGAAGTGTAATAAATAAAACTGACAACGAGATAATAGACAAATTGACCCTAAACACATCCGACTCGTTAGCGGAGTATCAGAAGGTCGGGTTTCGTCGTCGTGGAGGGAGACCGCACTTTCCACCGTCTCGGTCCAGGAGAAAACAAAGACGTTCAAATCTCTCGTGTAAATGCACGTTCAAAAAAACCGAGTCTGATTATAGAAAACAAACTGAAAAAATTCACGTTTAATTATTGATGGAATTGTCTTATCGTTCAGCATGTCTCCGAATATATTCTGATAACAAAAGTAAATACCGAGGGTTGTCGACCTGACGTATTCGTTGCAGCTCAGCGTTGCGATCATTTCCACAAGCGCAATTCAACAATAGCCTTCCACGCTAGGACGACCGAGAGATTTGAGATATGCAATTACTTCTAAACCGGATAAATGTCTTTTATCCGCGAACCAACGGTCATTCGTCGTCGTATTTTATTTTCCTCATGAAATATTCGCTTTGCGTTCGTTCAAGATAAAATAAAAATTTAAAATTTAAAAATTTAAACAGAGATAAAAATTTAATCCGTATATTATTCAAATTAAAAGAATATTATGATATATCCCTGTGTATATATTTTATTAATCTATATGTATATATTTATATTGCATATATTAATTTCTATTTACTGACAATTAAAGAATTTACACACACACACAATGCAAAAAAATAAGATAAGTTCCCATAATCAATGAGATTATTTTCGGTAGAATTTTGTGTTTAGCGTTGCGTAGATTTAATTGTTTTTAGCTCAACAGACAAGTTTTAAATATTTAAGAAGAAAATAATGTAAGAAATGAAGAGAGTAATCCTATTTTTTTTTATTTTGATTCTATTTATTGTACGTCAAAGTTTTTTCTTTTACATCGTTTTAAAACATACACGCACACGCGCACACACACATATGTATGTGCGTGTATTTTAAAACGACGTAAAGCAAAAACTTTGACGTGCAAACGCATTATATATACCAAATTTTCTTGAAGCCAATTAGATGCAAAATGTTTGCGATTAAACGCATAATATTCGCGCGTTTCTTTTCTGCAAAATGAGTTTTCAAATCGACGACGTGCAAAGTAATCAACAAACATTTTTTTGACATTTATGTCAGTGTAATTACATTCGACATATGATAAGATGTATATGTGTGTGTGTGTGTGTGTGTGTGTGTGTGTCATTGTATATTCAGAGATAAAATGACAAAATGTTTAAATATACAGCGTGTTTGATATTTTTTTTAACAAGTTTGAAGTGGATTTTTCTTTAACAAAAATATATCGACATGATTGCCAATTGTAAAAGATTAATAATCAAAAAATTGATATAAGATTTATATAGATGTAAAAATATATTGGTTGTTTTACTTATTAAATTAATTTATCCTCGCATAAAGTAAAATTTAATAAATGGAATATATATTTTCAAATTGATGTTATATAAAAATGATATTTTGATGGGAAGATAGCCTGGTAAGATTTGATATTTGTAAGGTCAAGACGTAACATATATTATCGCGCATGTATATACGACGAGCTCTTCATGCATATCGATACGCGACCAGCAATACTATTTAACTCCGTTTGTTCTCTTCAGTATTGTTATTCAAGCATGTGCACGTGTTTTATCGTGCATGCACGAACGTAGTCTCAGAATTGCGATTTATTAATGAATGATATTTATTTGCATTATATTCTGTCGATGTGTATTTGATTGAATACCTATAATAATATAATAATTTTTATTCTAGTTAGAATAGTTAATAGTTATCATGCACTCAAAAAAGTGGTATTGCAACTACAGCAAAAATTTTCTGGGTGCGCAAAATTAACTGAGGTACATAAATGATTAGCAAATACTGTGATATCGCATATGTTTCGCATTTAATCAATCTAAGTCACAGAGACAGAATTTATATCTGAACTGTTTGTGAAAATTAGAAAGAATGTTTTTCTGTGGCGCCTATCCATGTAAGGCCAATCATACTTGTTATAAAGTTTGACTGTGGTACACAGAAAAGATTAGCGGCAAGAAACAAATGAATATATAATCCTCACATATAACATATTTGTATAATGCGCCCAATCTATCTAGCTCTTTTAAACAATTTCTCTCAATTTTTCGATGCTGCAGTTATAATTGGCAGTTATATTTCTCACAAAGATCGTTCTAGCTGTAGTATCGAAACTCATATTTATCCAATGCAGTGATTAACATTTGGCAATGGGACCTAAATTTTCTAGAAGATATTATTAGAATATTGCTGCTATAAATTCTATATGTAACAGACAATATTCTAACAGATACAAAAAATAGCGATAAAGTTTTGTTGTGACACCTAGAAATCTATCTATATCAGCAAGACATTTTTTTGAGTGTGATATTCGTAATCAGAAAATGATTACAAGTTAATAAGTACATCTAAAAGAAGTTTTAAAATCTTTATAAATATTATGTGTATATAAACTTTTAGATAAATATTTTTAAAATATGAATTTTAGAGAAATAATAACTTGAATAAATTTTAACTGTAAAAATTAAACTTGTGCTGGAAAAAGAAAATATTGCTTGTTTTATTATATACATTTAGTGAGGAATTAAAAGAAAGTAATTAAAGAATCTATAGTCTGTTCTCCATGAAAAAAACAAGGTCATATAATCTTACGATAACTACAACTGGTTATTTCCAGTACGAGCAAAATTTAATGGATTAGAGAGAAATATTTGAATTATGAGAAACCGCGTCGAGGTTGAAATTTATACATACTTGTTTGTAATTTATAATATTGCTCAGGTGTTCGTATGTTCGTACATTCGACTATCTGATAATTGAGTGTACAAACATTCAACAGAATCATATCTTGAGCATTACCGACTAACGAATAAAAATGTATTATAAGTAGAAAGAATAAGAAAAGCAAGCTTCTATTAAAGAGATATTCTACGTGTGTGTGTATATTTAATATTCATGTATATACTTATTATTAATTCAAACAATATCATCATAAATTTTTTAAGCATTTTTACTATATATATCTCGATATGTTTGCGGGAGAGACACGAATGTTTGAATTGCCTTTTTTCATCTTTACTTACTTCAGGCAATCTTTAAGTGTCTTATTCCACTCTTTATATCGTTGCATAAAAGCGCGCGCAAAACATGCGTGCACTTGATATACAAATCTTTCGTGTCTATTAATGCACGAGTCGGATATAAGTGGGCCGTAAGTAGGAACAAAAAGAGCTAACAAGCAATAGAACCTTGCATGCTAATGTTTAACGAAAGCGCGACCCTGATCTTGCTCAAACTGATTCTATCATATAGCTGTCTCAAGGTCTGTTTACTTATTTTAGGATACGTTGTGCAACGGAATTTTCCTCCTATCTCATAATGTAGATCTCTTTCGACTTATTGTTAAAATGTTTTCGGAAGCGATCGAAATATTATTCTTGATTTCTTGAGTGTTTTTTGAAGCAAGAAAAAAATCTTGAACAAGAATTTTGAAAATTATTATATATGTATTGAAAAATGTGAAAAATATTTTATAAATATTTAAGAAAATATAAAATGCTTTGAAAAAAATCGCTGCACTAAAATCAGAGAAACTAGAAAATCCATTATTCTAAATCTCGTCTCTTTTTATTTATTGTTTGATTTCTTTTCTAGCAGGCTAGTTAAAGCGTGCATCTTGTTTTTAATTTATCGATTAGCTTGATTGAAAAACGATTAAATAATTGTCGCTAATAACGACGGACTCATTATTACTCGATGTTTAAATTGTTTCACTTAACGCTATTAACGGTTGTTTAAAAGACTCAGCGTAAGATTGTTATTGGATACGATAATTGTCGCTAAAATATACGACCCACATATTACGTCATTGGTGGTTCATGTCCTCTTTAAGCTTCTTTAGGCTGGATTTTTATTTGCGTTACAGCACTCGCAATATCAGATTATTTAGCAATGACGCGGTCTCTGTTATATCAAGCGATATGATAAGAATTTAAGACGCTCTAGTAAAATTTTGCCATTGCAATCATTTAATATTCAAAATCCACATAGCAAAGAACAGCATTTTAAAGTTTATTTTTTTTCTGTATTTTCTACATTTATAGATATCGAATGTGAACTTGGAGTCTAACTATCTAATTAAATATATAATTTAAAATATTATTAGACGGTCCGGCATCACCTTAAGATGTCTGATGGTATGAATTTCGATGATTTTATTGCCTATATGAATAAAGTTATTTCAGAA